ATGAACATAAACAGGGAGAATTGCATCAAGAAGGAACCCTTGAGAACGCATCAGCACTCCGACAGGACCGACGGTATGAGATTAAGAAGTGACTGTCAGTTATCTATCACCATGATGCCCGTGTTCACTTACATGGCTGATATATTCTGCCTGTTGAACAAGTCAATTTACACGCTTGAGATACACCATTGCTCATTCTTTTCTCTCCGTTGCTTACATTTTATAAACCAGTGGTATCTATTTTCTTTTTTTCTTTTTCCCGCTCTGCACTTAGAATGATAGCCCAGCTATGAAAAAGGCTGTGTCTCTCTTGTCCCTCGTCACGCCGACCAGTAACCGCAAGCGCCGGCGACTCAGAGACACACTGGCTCAGCTCACCAAGGAAACGGACATCTCCCCTTTCCCTCCACCTAGAAAAAGGCCTTCAGCGGAGCATTCACTGTCCATTGGCTCTTTGCTGGACATCTCCAATACCCCTGAGACCTGCAAGGCTCTGGCAGGTAAAATGTCGAGCAACACACCTGCTTTGCTTTATCCCGGGATGGACTTTACACTTCACAGAGTCCTTCAGTTCTCGCGGTTGTCGTGGCTGCAGAAGCGTAAATAGTCTCTACATTCGAGACGACAAAATCGTTAAATGTTTAAAGACAGTATAGACCAAAGAGAAAAGAACATCAGGGAGTTAGGATTTACATCAGGAAATTAATTTGCAATTAACCAAATCTATTTGTTTTTTTTAATCAGACTGAAGATATTTTCTGTTCAAAACAATAGTACATGTAGACTGGTTAGTCTACACCAGGTATTGTAATGACGCTCTAATTGTTTCATTCGAATGCAAGTCAATAATGGATTCCGACCCAATGTACAGAAATTGCTACGTTTTTGTTAGTTGTTTACATGCAAGAACTGCCAGGCTAAAAAAAAAAGGTGTCCAATAAGTGTGATTGGCTGTGCTTAGTTTTTAGAGAATCATTTAATGTGTGTCTGAAGCACAGTTTGTTTGACCTGAAGGCCAGGTTTAAAAAAAAAAAAAAAAAATACAACCTCCCTTACTTCCATCCTGATCCTGTTATTCCAGAGAGTTCAAAGCCATCCCGTAGTTCAACTCCGGTTGTATCGAAGCAGTCGGCCAGGTGGCAGGTGTCCAAAGAGCTTTACCAGACCGAAAGCAACTATGTGGACATTTTAAACAACATCCTGCAGGTAGGTTGTTTATGTGTGTGTTAGTCTTTGAATGTCTGCATGCACTTCCTCCTCTGCTTATGTTATCTATTGGTCACAGCAACTACTGGGCATCTGAAAATGACCATATGACCATTTCTGTTTTCTTAGGCTTTTTGAAAAAAATATTTCTTGTTGAACTTAACATTTTATTTTAAATTTTTACCCCATTCTTTTCTCCACATATCACCCTATCCTTCCACTTTTGAAGTAAATGAGACCCATTTTGCCTTTTTAGTGGAGGAGTAATTTAATTTCCAAGTAATAATTGTAGTGCTGTAGTGTACACTAGTATTATAGTGTCAAATATACAAAGGCTTTAAAACTAGTTTGGAATATTTATATTTATATTTGAACAAATAGCTGATATATGAATCTATCGAAATATGTTAATCTCATACCCCTGATGTTCAACAACCTTTTTTCCCTGTTATCAAATTATTTGGTGTTGCTGTGTTGTCTCTATGCTTGAGCTCAAAATCACTGCTTTTTAACGAACAGATGGAGGTAGCAAAAGCTTTTGCTGTTAGTGAAAATTACCTTGTACTTTTGTTTGTAATGGACAAATTCTCATAGAGAGAGAGAGGACGCTGCTGCTGTTTTTCTTCTAAAATAAAGTAAAAGTATCTCTTATTAAACACTGTTATCCATTGATGGTATAGTACATTGACAATGACATCCATTCAATTAGAGTGTCTGACTCGCTAATGTGACAAAAAATATATATATAAAAAAATCCTCTTGATACTTCACAGTACTTGATGTGATGTTTATCAGCAGGGTTGCGGCCCTCATTCTGTACTTTCTCTTTTTTTTTCCCCCTCCCTCGAAATCAATGATGCACTGATTGACTGGCCAGTAATTGTACATGGCTGATTTTCAGCATGATCAGCCCTGACCAGTGACAAAGTTGAATCATTAGGACTGATGTCAGCCTGCTGCGGGCTAACGCTCAAGCAGCAATTAGTTTTACAACTCAACTGGTCAAGAAAGGTTAACCCCAACACTCACCCCATCCATGCTTGGTTTAACCACTCAGTGGACAGACAGATAGAAAGGTCATACAGACCTATTGCAAAATGAATCAAATTTATGCTGTTATTATGTAGACATTGGGAATCTGGATCATCCTAATTGGAATTTCTGTCAGGAAGTCACCCTCACAAAAAAAAAAAATCTATAATCAGTATTGGTGAAATATTGCAATAGGTTGACTCTGGTTTTAAGTGAATAAAAATGATGAATATTCAATAGTTAGTCAGGCGTTATATAAGCACAGTTTAATTATTCTAGCCTCGTTACAGACCTTAATATATAAACAATGTATAGACAATTATATATTATAAATAGATTTAACATTAAAATTATTGCGTAATGTAAATGTATACATTTAAGAAGGTAACGTATGTCTTAGATTAAAACTAGTGTGTCTAAAATGGTGGTATTAATGTAATGCAATCTCTTTTTTTTTTTTTTTTTACATACATTTAAGAAGGTAATGTATGTCTTAGATTATTAATGTAATGCAATCTCTCTTTTTTTTTTTTTTTTTTTTTTTACTTACCGGTGGTTTCTCTCAATGGTCAGTCATCAGTCCTAACATCTAAATATATTTTTTGTTTCTCGTGAACAAAGGTATCATGTTGGAAGATTAGATTATTTTTAAAAAGATTATGTGATTCCAGCGCACTTGAGACATGCTTGATACTCCCCAATACCACATTTTCACAGACTACTGCATACTTGTCCTCTTGTACAAGGCTATCGATTTTCATCATCTTTTTAATAATTTTCTGTTTTTTGTTAAGCTTTTTAAACATCCGTTGGAAAAGGAAGGACAGGTGGGTGGACCCATCCCATTTTCTGTTTTTTAAATTAAAGCTTTTTAAACATCCGTTGGAGAAGGAAGGACAGGTGGGTGGACCCATCCTGGCACAAGAAGAGATTAAAACCATCTTTGGTTGCATCCCTGACATCTATGATATTCACACAAGAATAAAGGTATGGCTATGACAACAACATGGTTAGGTTTTTGTATTACCGCAAATTGAGTCTGTAAAGGATTTCCTTTTTTTATTAAATAAGACTGACCTTGAAGATCTGCTCAGCGACTGGTCCGAAGACGCGAGTGTAGGAAACATCATTCTCAAATATGTAAGTTTAATCATTACGTGTTTTTCAATGGAAAGGATGTAAATGTAATATGTGTTTTTAACTGCAAGTGTATATGTAGATACAAATATTATATAAATATATATTTGACCTGCAGGCCAGTTTTGGTCTGCAGGCCTTATGTTTGACACCTCGGTCTAAATGAACCTAAGGTGTGAATTACTTTCCCAAAAGTTGCATTGTATTTGAAAAACTAAACTTTTATTCTGCCTGCAGGTGAGAAAGTCTTGTCTTTTTCATCCTTAGTGTTGTCTGACCTTTTCCCGTCTTCTCTCTCCAGTCCAAGGAGCTAGTAAAGGCCTACCCGCCATTTGTGAACTTTTTTGAAATGAGCAAGGAGACTATTGTTCGCTGTGAGAAGCAGAAGCCGAGGTTTCATGCTTTTCTCAAGGTATGACCCAGACATCTCTGTGTAAAACATCTCTGTTTTATTCTAGCGGATGGATTTTAATTCACATTTATTTTTCATTGAAATGTGTAAGTGTATTACTTGTTTGTTTAAGGCATTGATTTTTATTTTTCAACATTTAGTTTAGTTAAAATCGTGAACTCACTCATGTTATTAACTTATTTTTTTATAGCTGTGAAATAAGCATAAAAGAAATGTAATAACAGTGATAATTAAAATCTGTTGAATATTTTAGATCAACCAAGCAAAACCAGAGTGTGGCAGACAGACACTGGTGGAGTTACTTATCAGACCGGTACAGAGGCTCCCCAGTGTGGCACTTCTACTTAACGGTAAAACACGAATACAAACCAGCTCCATACCATTTTTAAGTTAATATTGAAATATGTTCTTCATATTACTCTATATCTGTCCTTTCTGTCACTCATCCATGCCTCTAACTTTCTTCTTTTGCCTTTTTTTTTTTTTTTTTTTTTACTTTACGACCACCTCCGTACTCTAAATCCTACCTGTCTCCTTCGTTTTTACAGATATAAAGAAACACACATCAGATGACAACCCTGACAAGATAACACTTGAGAAAGCCATTGATTCCTTGAAAGAAGTCATGACGTGAGTGGCATGACGAGACACGAACAGAGCCTGTGTTTTTCACCTATGCTAACACAGTGGTAACATTGTAATCAAGGACATTAAAACATCAGAAGAGTCTGACTTTTTCCTTGATGATGCCATGATGATGGGCTAAAAATTCCCCCCCAAAAGAAAGTCCATGGAGCACAATCCAATGTATGGCGTGCAACCAACTAATGTCAACAAAGCTAAATATATATGGTTTCTCTCTGTTCTTCTCCACCAGTCATATCAATGAAGATAAGAGAAAGACTGAAGGGCAGAAGCAGATCTTTGACGTCGTTTATGAAGTGGATGGTTGTCCCGTAAGTTAAATCTTCTTTGACGTGCACATCTCTAACGCTTCCTATTTCACCGCACATCCCAAAATTCTGTGAACCCATCGCAGTCCTCTCCATGAAGGCCACACAATGGATGCCAATCTGTTAACCTCAATACAAGCTTAGATTTTTAGCCTCCTCTGACCATCTGACATGACAGGGTTTTGAGAAGGTTGTTGCTTGACCTTCCCAGAGGGGGCAGCAGCTGTGTGTATCTTCAGTGTTTCCATTCATCAAGTTATTATCACATGTTGCTTGAAAGAGCAAGGGTGTTGAACTCTCTTTTGATTCCCGATTTTTAAATCACAATCCAGTCCAGTAAAATCGTTCCACTTTGTTTTCATGCAAAGAAGTACACGTATATTGGATATTTATTCTTATTTATTATAACATTATATGTTATATTTAATGAAATATGAAACACATGAAGTGTTCGTGTATTTTTCTTATTTTCAAAATTCATATCCACAAAATTCTGTGAACCCATCGAAGTCCTCTCCGTGAAGGCCACAGAATGGATGCCAATCTGTGTATTCTTAATCAATACAAGCTTAGATTTTTAGCCTCCTCTGACCATCTGACATGACAGGGTTTTGAGAAGGTTGTTGCTTGACCTTCCCAGAGGGGGCAGCAGCTGTGTGTATCTTCAGTGTTTCCATTCATCAAGTTATTATCACATGTTGCTTGAAAGAGCAAGGGTGTTGAACTCTCTTTTGATTCCCGATTTTTAAATCACAATCCAGTCCAGTAAAATCGTTCCACTTTGTTTTCATGCAAAGAAGTACACGTATATTGGATATTTATTCTTATTTATTATAACATTATATGTTATATTTAATGAAATATGAAACACATGAAGTGTTCGTGTATTTTTCTTATTTTCAAAATTCATCAAGAGGGTCAAATTGAACACTGTAGCGAGCCAGTTCTGGCCCACGGGACATATGTTTGACACCCCTGGTCCAGAGGATTAAATATGACTAATAAAAGTAAAAAAAGGTTGGTTTTTTTTATACATTATTGTCTATAAAAAGGAATTTCAAAAAGATTTTGAAAGCCAGTTCCGGTTATTTCATACATCTGAAGGTTTTATTAAACACAGAAACATGTCCTCTCTGCAGGCCAACCTGTTGTCCTCCCATCGCATTCTGGTTTATCGAGTCGAAACCATTGCCCTGGGTGACCAGCCATGTGACCGCGGTGAAAACGTCACACTCTTCCTTTTCAATGACTGCCTGGAGGTAATGACTGCATAAAAACGGATCCATTCTTCTTCCACATGCATCACTGTAGTCTATTTTTGCTCCCTCAATGTTACCACCCTCGTGTGCCTGCAGATTGCGAGGAAGCGACACAAGGTGATTAACACATTCAAAAGTCCACTGGGACAGACGAGACCGCCGCCTCCTCTCAAGCACATCGCTCTGATGCCTCTGTCCCAGATCAGGAGAGTTCTGGACCTGCAGGACACCGAGGGTAACGCACTGACAACACCGACACGATGAGCACACAGCCACTGCTTTTACTGCTCAGCGCAGGCAACTTTACTGTCTGTTGTTAAACACCTATCTGAAGTGTCCCCTTAATAAAGCCCAATGACAGAGCAGCAGCTTTATTCATTATTGTGAAAACCTTTTATGGCAGTAGCTGTTTCCCATTATGTATTTGCTAAATATGCCGCACCACTTTGAGGCCGCTCATAAAGCCATTTATTTTTTAGGGTGTTTAAAAAAAAAAAAATCTTGTGAGCAGAGTGGTTAAATGGTCAGTGGTCTGTTTCTCACTGAGCAACACAAACCTTAACCCACTTAAATGTCAAGAGCATTTTTTTAAGTAAGTTTTTGATATAGATAAAATATATAACATTTAAATAAATGCATTGCATCTATATTCAAAATAGCCGGTATCAGTCCTCGCTGCGGACAGACGTGCCATCATGTAAGGATCTTTACATTTTCAAAATAAAACACCCCGTTGTTTTGAAACATTATCTTTTAATGTAAAAAGTAAAGGGATATGACTGGATTTTTTTTAGATGACGTAAATTAATAAAACTCCCACAGTGCCCTACGGAACAGCACTGGTACCAGGGGTTGGAAACTTGAAATTTTGATTTGTAATTTCCTGGTCAAAGCCAGGTTTCTATGTACTGTGCCGTTGATTGACTCTTTATATTATAGCCTACGGCATCTGTGTACGGTTCACATTCAGAATTGAATTTATGCAGGCTACTCAGACATTTAACTAGGAATGCACCGATTGTAAAATTTCAATGCCTGAATTTACAACTCGGCCGACGCCGATGTTTTCTTTTTGGTGTTTATTCCCTCTTTTGTGCCACAGAAACGTTACTGTATTATTGGTCTATACGTCTTTCAGCTCTTCATCATCGTTTAATCAATCACAGTTTACTTTTCAAATGTCCAGTGAGTTTTGTTGTGCTTCTTACACTGACTTCTTCTTTGACAGTACTATGTTTTTTTTTTTTCCTTTACTTCTTTTTGCCAGTGCAGGTGTTTACATTTATCCTGTCAGTTATGTGGTTCCCATGACATTGGTTCAGATAAGGGAAGGTGTGTGTGTGTAGAGCTGGAGCGAGACAGGAGTGAATGTTACGAGTTGTTTTGGCGATGGCTACGGCCCACAGTAGCCTCGAGTCAAAAGCACTTGGCAGTAGTGTTGGGTGATATTGGCAAACAAATGAACCCCGATTATTTATGGCATTTTTCAGATAACGATTAGTATGAAGATTTATAGATCATGCTTACACTTGCATAATTTTGCCTCAGTTGCCTTGTGTTCTAAAATGATAGTTACAAATCCTCAGTCAAACTAACTTAAAAAATAGCCAATTTGCCTTGTTTGAAATGTCTACACATTAAACGTTTATTGATAACTCTTTAACACAGACACATTACGATCAAACAGGACGCAACAGTGATTACTTCAGGTTGCGTATGTCTGTGCGTGTTAACCTGTGACTGGAATGTCACACTAGTGCATGTCTTCACTCATACTGTAGCTCAGCAGCAGAAATAAACTGACACATACAGACTTCCCGCACAGTGTAATAATAATCAGTTCTGGGACATACAATAGTAGACACCCATTTGAATATCTTACCAGTGGAACTGATTCAAAAAGCACAGGAACAGTATGATGTTTGACACTCTTGTTGACTAGTTGTATTTTTAGAACATATCCCACGGGCTCCTCAGGTGGTCCACGGGGGCTACCAGGTGCCCTGAGGCACCATGTTGGTGAGCCCAGTTCTAGATGGTTAAGTGTATCACTGGTCCACCGTTCATTAGTTGTTGGAAACCCACCTTTTCCAAGCAGATCTTTAGCAATGCAATATGCAACCGGCCTGCATTATCTCTTTCCAACACTTACTTAGGTGCTGGTTAGGAACAGATTGACTGAGGTGGAGTTTACACTACGGCGAAACGATGATTGATTCCAGAGCTGTGCCACAAATTTGGATTTGGATTTGCTTTTAGACGAAGATGAAATTTTGGGTTGGAGACCACTTGTTCTTTATGGCTGTGTTTCAAGTACGTAACAATTTCGCACAAGCCTACTTGGCGGTATCATCATTTTGTGCCAGAGAGAGCTCAATGTTTGTGACCAATTTGACGCTGATATAGTTGTAATTCATTTGATAATAAAGTCACCTTTATTTCCCAAAGGCAGTTAACAAACAAACATCGGCCGTTACCGATGTTCATCCGATGCATTGCCACGTCCCTACATTTAACCTGAACTTTTACTATCACTTCAAAATAGAAGCCATCAAAAAGACATAAAATGCAGTATATACAGTGATAAAACATGGGTATAAATACGGCCTGATACACTTATTTCTGGGCTGTTTCTCCCACTTTTCGCTAGTTGATGTTGAATACAGAGTACCTATGTAGAACTGTTTTTAGAACTCCCCAGACATGTTCAATCAGGTTCATGTCTGGGTTCTGGCTGAGCCACTCAAGGGTATTCACAGAGTTGTCTTGTTATCTTGGCTGTGTGCTTAAGGTGTACATGGCTGCAGTCGTCTCGCTCTACTCTCTCTCTACTCTGACTCGTCTCCTGGCTCCTGCTGCCTAAAAAAAACTTCCCCAGTGCTGATGCTTTTACCACCCTGCTATATAGGGCTGGGTAGCATTGAATTTTTCGATACTGATCTGTTCATTGCGATACTGGTTCCTGAATGATAATTTTTCAATACCAATTCTAACCAAAAAAGAATTGACATTAAAACATTACAGGACAAAAGTTGCGTTTTATTTTTGCAGCCTTGGTATTTCTCCACTTCAAGCTGTTTTCTTAATCATTTCTAGTGAAAAGAACATCTGCAAACAAGCGACAGGTCAGGGTCTAATGCTCACTGCGACATACTGAGGACCTTTTCACTTAGCGGCTTCTCTTCTGAAAAGTCAACATGTCTGCTCTCTCAGGACACAGACAAGCCTCCTGGCTGATGGTGTCTCCTGCAGTAGAAAATGTACCCTTTGAGGGTGTGGATGGTGTTAGCACACGGAGATACCTGGTTGCCAAAAATATACGTATTGCCGCCTCGTGCAGTCAATAAATCAGGACGTTGGCAAGAGCTGATAGTTCACAGAGCAGCTGTTGCA